ATATATATAATAAATAATATATATGCATGCATACGCGTGATATATGTATATGTATATATTATTTATTACACGACTATTTTTTGTATCACTACTACTGTTTTATGGTTATTTGTTATACTTTACTCGGGATATTTTGAGCGGATTTTTATTGCGTGTTTGAGGAGAAGTGCCAAAACCTTTGCAAGTTTACAGAACGAGAAACATTTTCCCGCGTTTTTTCCTTCCTCTTTGCAACATCGATTTTTTCAGTAAAAGTCAATGTGATAGTAAAATCACCGTATGGAAATTATACTTTTGGCAATACAAGAACGGAAAGGAATTATTAATTTCCACTGACAGTCAAATTATCTATAGGCTAAAGTATTTCATTCAACAGAAATTCGTTTAAAGAACTTGAGAAAAAAGAAAAATGCGTTTCTCATAAAAGTAATCCTTGTCGTTATTTCGACGAAGTTCAACGTCGTCGATCAATTAGTTTTCTCCTCAGTCACGACGATTGAATATCACTGCCAAAAGCCCACGATTATAAAAGCAAAAAAAAAAAGTAGCGTAGAGCGGCGGGGCCCGATCGGATCCCCCATTCACGTGGCGGCGCGCTCGGATCAAGCCGTCTCATATTCTCTCCACTCATACACTATCTCTCAAGTTTACATTAACATATTTATTTTTCAACGGATAGCAACTTTCGTTTAGAGCGAATCCGTTTGCTCCTTTTTTTCCGTAGAACAGACGTACCGACGACGATACCGATTCGCCATACATACGAGATCTTTGTTTGATTTTCTTTTCGAATTTTTTTCACAATATTCAACGGAATGATTGTAAGAATAAACGATGTAAAGAAGAGACTTCTGAACGGATTAATATTTACGAAATCATAATTTTGTACTTTTCCTCAAGCAAATAAAAATCAGAGAAAAAATACTTGTAATAAGTCTTGATAAGTTAGAATACAGGATTATAGCGAATACTGCAATGACTCCTGTGTATAAGTATATCCGTGTATAAATCGGAAATCAATAACTCTGTTCTTTGCTGTTTATTAATTCAAACTTTTATTATTGGCTTTATTATTAACGCTGTCTCTCTCTCAATAAAATTCCTTTCATAAAACATCTATTCTCTGTGTATGCAAGATGTAAGTTTTTACTTGAATGATTCGCTAATCATCCTAATTATGGAAAGATTTACCTAATTATGGAAAGAAGTGTTGAAATTGAAATTCAGATAAAGAATCACTTTCATGAGGATGAAGATGAATAGTCGGTATTGTTGTCGAAATTGTTAATTATTCGAATTTCTTAGAGAGATGCGAGCGAAAATAAGAAAATGGGTGCACATTCCATTACATAATGATTATACGTACATGTATAAAATATTCATCTGTTAGAGTTTGATAGAGGGTTTACACATCACACCACACAACATTACACATACACACACACACACACACACACACACACACACATGCGCGCGCGCGCCATAATGCAATGGAAAATTATAAATGAATAATGTATCCCCTCCTAAAGTTTTCGAAGCTTACAATAGACTCAGTTTATCATTATTATGTATCGTGATTTTTATGTCATGTTCAATAAATGAGTTTTAAACAGCTTACTTCCCTGATTTTTTATTTCAAGAGTTACTGACCTATATTCCTATCCTTATTCATAATTTTACATATACATATAAGATACTGAAGTATATAAATAGATACATATATCGGTTCTTTACTTTATTTTTGTTTCACAAAAATTTAAAAAAAATCATCTTTTTTGACTTGTGACAATTTTTACGTTCAAAAAGTTATAATAAAAATACGGAATAATTCATAAAAAGTAATATCATTCAAAATTTCCACCAACAATTATATTTATTTTAATCAATTAAAATGTCTAAATTCAAAATAAAACAATTTTTTCAAACTTCGATAATGAAAAGTATCTTAATTCTAAATGTTCTTTGCAGAAGATTTTCTTTTTTATTTACAAAAATGACATAACTTACAACGTGTCACTCTTGTAGAAGATATTATGATCTCTTTGAAAGCCTTAAGAACAACACAAGTAGGTACTATTTGGCGGACGGATTATGAAGTTGAGTTAGTTTACTTTTCATGATTGACAGAGTAAGCTTTATTTAACTCATTCATGGTTAACTCGAAAATCACATCTTTTGAGTTATGTCAATTACGAAGTAAGAAAGCGATATGATATTATAAAAAACTAATATAATACAAAAAATAATAAAATGATGAATAAATAAATATTCGAAATATGGCACAGGCAAAAATTTAGAAATTAATTTATCAAATTTTAATTAAAATTTTATTGCATTACGCGGCAAAGTTGTGAAACGTGTGAAATAAAAAATCTTGAACAGTATTGTTTATCATTTTATGCGACTTTATTAATGCGACTTTATGTAACATTATTTTTTAAAAAAGAGAACAGGAAATGGGAAATTTTCATTTCAATGAATAACTCGTATGTACACATAATATGTAATGTTTAAGAATATTACTCTATTATGAATTCGTTCTTTTAATGAGAATATGAAGAATATGAAACATGACTTGAATTGATATGTAATGAGACAATTGTCAAAGTGAAGAAGAAAACATTTTTAATGTCTCAATTTATCAGTGACTGATTCATTCGCGATGCGTTCGAATGGCCTGAGTCATCGTATCGATGATATTATTGAAAGTAAATTTTTTTTTACTATCCGGAAATAGCAGTAAAAAAATTAATGACAATGAAAACTCAACTAAGTATACGTCTTATGACATGGAATGAAATAATCTGTGTAAAATAGAACTTTTTTCTTTCTTTTAGGAATGTTTATTCTTTAAATCTAATTAAATAAGAGAATTCCTAAAGCTCCTAGAAGATCCTAGAATAAATATTTTTGTTTGAATTTGTGTATCTGATTCTACAAACTGTGCGTCGAATTCTTTTTTGATCTCGAAACGCATACATGTACAGAACCAGAGTAATGATATCAATTATTAAACCAACAAGCAATTTAATAATTTTTAATGCTAATAAGCACCTTTATAAAAACATTAATAATAAGATGTTAATGAGATTCTTAAAACTGCAAATAATTTTATTGCGTAAAATATTACTTCAGCCAAGCTTTCTTTAAATTTTATTCTTTGAATTTTGATCTACAACCTGACAATTTTATTTGTAACAGAAACAAATTTTTGTATGTACGATTTGGATTAAAATAGCATGCGACTTTAGATAATATCAGTTGAATTCATTAATTATGTGAAAACAGCGTATCATGTATTTGCCTCCCATTTATTTCATGATCGAGATCTGTGCATTACGTTATCTTATTAATATAATTTCTCTCGCGTGATTTTCAATAATAAATTCACGCCACGTAGCTTAGCTCAAATTTCAGTATTTCAACATGTGATACACAAGCAGTAATTAACCGATTTTATTGCCACAGAAACTTCCGGCATTTGCTTCGTAAAATATATCTTTTAAGTAATATGTTTGCACACATGTATTATACATTATTCATAATACGAGTAATTATTATTTTCTATCTTGACTATGTGTACTTTCTAATCCAAGGATAATACTAGTGCTTCGAACTTGCTTTACAATATTTGTGAAACGGAAAGATTGCATCATGAGATGCAACTCTGGGTAAAGAAAGCTCGTGCTAGAAAGCAAAAATAAGAGAAATTATAGATATTAGATTTTA